GATTGGAGAGATTGTTTGATGTTTCCGGGGTTCTTCTTTGCTGTTGGTCATTTTCAGTGTTTGCTGCATCCTCTGATCTTTCGGACAAAAGAATAGTTGCTTCTCTTAATAAATTAAATGCTCTATTAACGTTCGCCATGCTTTCGAAACAATTTCAAAATATGATTTGCACATTGATTATATCAGCGACTACATGAAGTGTATTAGATCACCACTGTATCATCCGGTATCATAATGCAGGCTCGAAAAGTATAAACAAAACAGCCGAATACAAAACAGCCGAATACGAAACAGCCGAATACGAAACAGCCGAATACGAAACAGCCGAATACGAAACAGCCGAATATACGAAACAGCCGAATACGAAACAGCCGAATACGAAATAGCCGAATACGAAACAGCCGAATATACGAAACAGCCGAATATACGAAACAGCCGAATATACGAAACAGCCGAATACGAAACAGCCGAATACGATTTTGCCGAATAGAACTGTATAATTGGGTCAAATTGAATGTCAAAATGGCATATTGAATTTTGGCGGTAATCACCCTTCATACTAATTCGATTAGTGATGTGTTAAAGGCACAGTTCAGCCTGTTGAACGATGGTTTTTAAGGCGCATTTCAGCTCTTTTAATTGAAAAAACTAACTAGGAAAATCAATTAAGCGTAATTCAAGATCACCAAACTCAATGTTTTTAACATTTTAAAACATTTTTATTGGTAAAAACATCGAGTTTACTGATTTTGAATTATGCTTAATTGATTTTCCTAGTTAGTTTTTTCAATTAAAAGGGCTGAAATGCGCCTTAAAAACCATCGTTCAAAAGGCTGAACTGTGCCTTTAATTCATGTAGACAATGTGAAATGGCTCAACGTGTTTTGCAATGATTTAACAAGTCATGAACAAATGATTCATGCTATTTTGAAACCATTTACCGTGTTTTGAAATGATTCAACTAAATGTGAAACGATTCAACTAAATGTGAACTGATTCAACTTAATG